ATTATTTATGGAATGTTGTTCTCTGTTTCTTTTTCTAGGAGTAGTGCATTGTAGCGTACTATATGAGAGGATGATATGAATAAATATTTCTGACTACCACTATTGAATTGATCGAGATACGAAAGTTTCTCAAGATAGGCTAGAATCTTTAAGGACATGCATAGAAAACTTTCATTTCCTATACTCAGGTATAACGATGATCTATCATTTGAGAGAGTTCCACAATGTTCCCAGAATGATTTGCAAAGCATTTTTGAATCTGCCTGCAGCACCACTTCAAGTGAAAATCCTTATAGGAGAATAAATTTTGACATGTTACAAAAGGTAGGCAGATAGAATGCGATATCTGATCTTTTCCGCTAGTGTTTTTACTAAACAAGTTCAGTCTATAAACATCGCATGATGAGTTAACTATATATTTTTGGACGCTGTTATTCTCAACGGCAGTTGGCCACAATCATTGAATAAAATGATCAAAATTTCATCTTAAACTACCATACATTAAGAGAGTTATATATGAAATGAAATGAAAAATTTCACGTGACATTTAGTATGACAATCAAATTTTCAAGATTGTTTTCAGACTTATTCTTGGCAAGAAACAATATAATTTTCTTATCTGTTTTTTATAGATTTTAGCTCCTATTTACTGACTTTCATGTAATAGTACTCTAACTATTTTTACATGAATGGTTCAATCTCACGTGACACAAAATCGAACAAAACTGTATATCTGATGTTTAGAAAAATCTAAAAGGAAAATTTTTATGAAAGCATCAATCAATCTTATATTGTAGAAGTGCTCACTATTAGCTATAAATTCGCCAATTTCTAAATTTCAGAATGATGAGAGAGCAGACCGATTATACGTCATTTTTATCAATAGACGGGAGTAAAGATCAATCTTTTCAACCTTGAGCATGAGGATTTTCAATTATGGGAGAGCTTTCCTCCCTCCCCAAATTCCAGACATTCTGTCGATATTTTCGATAATACTCTGCGAAAGTTCTAAAGTTCAGTTCAGCAGAAAACTTCTGCATTTACTGAAATAAAATTAAACCAAAGATGCTTTCTATGAAATTCCTCGCAGAAATTCGATGTTATTTCTATGAAATTTCTTGCAAAAAGTCAATTTCATTTCTGCTATTATGTGTTGTCATACTCTCTTAAATGGCATATACTCACGTATACATCTGAAAAAATAATGAAGACTAATTATTAAAACATTTGTGCTTTTTCGCTTCGAAATAATTTTATATCGAGTAAGTCATGATTACTAGACTTTGTCACTAACGAGAGACTTCTGATTTCTAGTAGGCTCATACTATTTTGCTAAAAAAGTTGACTTTCTGCCACATTTTTTTAACCCCTCCCACTCCCAAAAAACAATCGGGAACCCCATTGCGCATCTAATATCTCGAGACTCGTTTAAGATAAATTCGTGATTTTTTGCGTGGTAGTGAGGGCTTCTTAGAGAAGTGCAACCTAAAAAAAGGCATAAGGGTTAACTGAAAGGCACTAGAGATATTGAACTTTTACATCTAAAAATGTTACAGTACGATACAGTTGCAATTCACACATATATATAAGAAAAAGAATTAAATGAATGAACATCCTTTTTATTTTAATCAAATAAATGAAAATTTCTTTGACAATGCAACTTGTTCTTATATCAGATACACAAAGTGTATGATTGACAGTGCAACTAGGTTTTTTCCGAAGTTGATACTTTTTTTTTCGATGGATAATTGTTTGTAATACTTAGTTAGTTCATTAGTTGTTTATTTATATTGTTGATTTTTTTTGTCGGCATTTTTTGTATTCAGTACGTTTTCTGCTTGAGTTTCTTTTCTATATTACGACAAGTAATAAGATATTTGCTGGTGGACAGCGGCGTAATCAGGATTTTAAGACCAACGGGCAAACTTCTCTTCCGTCGAAAAAAATCGATTGGCGAAATGGGCAAGATTTATATTGATGGGTCAAAACTTTTTTCGTTCAACAAAGTGCTAATGAAGTCAAAAATTCATGCATAAGTTAATGTTGAGGATTCTTCCAATATCTATCTGTGCAGCACACATGAACATTTTCCCTATGAACTAGGTCATTTCACATCTTGGTTTTTTCCTTTATGTTTCCGCATATACGTCATTGGATTTTTTCTTTCTCTTCTATGCGTTACTCTATATGTATATGTATCTACATATATGTATGTTCGTATGTGTTCTCTTGATCTGTACTCTTGTTTCTCTTATCTTTGATCTATACTTCTCTACCTTTACATAGTTAGTGTTTTCCCAATAAAACCGAAGTCATGTTCACCCAAACTTGCAGCTAAAATCAGGGTTGCTACGCTGAACAAGGTTCCGATTTTTGTAACCAATTCTGAACCATTATCCGTTGTCGTACGGGCCTACGAAACCAATTCAAAGTTCTGTAAACTCTCACGAAACCTGTTTGGCAATTTACAAAACCTTGAATGAGTTTTGTAGATCCGTACGACAACGGAAAATGGTTCAGAATTGGTTGCAAGAATCGAAACTTTTTTAAATTTCGTGTGGTACCTATGTTTTTTCAGTGTAGATTTTCTGAAAAGTCACGAAAGTTTCTGAAACTTGAACATTTTTGCAATTTTTTTCTGATTTTGGTAGTTTCTTCTAAATTGTTGCCGATTCCAAACGTTTTTAGATGGTGACTTTACTAGTGACATTAATTATGACTATAACTTATTAATATTATAGATCCGTATTGCGCTACCTTCTTCCCTTTCTTAATCTTTTGTAGTTTTTGAGTTCTACAACCACTAATGAATACTTTAATATATCAGTAAATTTTTGCGTTGCTGAACTTAGGAATGAATGTTAATTATTTTTTTGAACGATTTTGTAAACATATTTTAGCTCAAAAACATTTATGGAAGAAATTTCAAACAAAGGAAAACTTGAGAAATGATATGGAATTGATGTTCTATAACCTTTATTATTTTTTGGTAAGATTTTTTGATTTGGATAGTTTATATATGATTTGTTTGCGCATATTTTTCGTAAACAGAGTTTTGGGTTTTCGTAAAAGAATACGGCACTAGGTGTCTGTTGCTAGCTTTTTTTGTATTACCTAACAATTGAAGACCATGTAACTGCAAACTAAAAAGATTGTTTATAGTTGAATCAAATGAATGCTCTCACTCACAGACCGATATGTTTAAATTTCAAGGTATATACAATTTGTTATGTGTTCATATTACGGAATTTCATTAATCCTTAGGTTTTTTTTTCGTCATGGATGGATGGGACACGACAATTTACATAAGAAGAAGAAATATCACACATATTCAAAAGCAATTTGACAGCAATTAGAGTTATTTGTTTATTACACTTATAATTAAAAAAAGTTGTCTAGACGTCGTAGATTTTGCTGTTTAAGATATGCGTGATATTGTCTTTTCTTATGTAAATGGTTGTGCTCCATCCAACCACAACGAAAAAAGAAAACTAAGCGTTGATGAAATTTCGTAGTGTGAAAACATAACAAACTGTAAATTTCTTGAAACTCGAATATCTCGATCTGTGTATACTATTGGCAGCTCATATTTTTAATTGGTTGACTTGACAGTAAGAGCATTCATTTGATCCGGCTATGATCAATCTCCTTAGCTTACAGTACACGATCTTTTACTCTAAGCTATATAATGTTTGCATTGTCTTTGTTTGCTATGCAATACTTTTGGGAATAAAGTATGAGTCGATAAACAAAAAAAGTGAAGCATTTTGTGCAAGTATGACAACATGATAGCCATTTGTTTACAAAAAGTTACTCTTTCTGATTAGTTTCCGATTTCGGAGAAAAAATTCTGATTTTTTTCTGATTTTGAAAACAAGAATTTCTGATTTTTGAAGTTTTTATCTGGCAACCCTGGTTAAAATAACAGAAATGTTTGTTTTCTTCTTCGTTTCTTAATTCTTCATAGACAGAACAAACAAGGAGTGCATGTGTGATTCAGACGGAAGAAAAAAAGTAGAGTTATTATCTAATTCAAAAATGAATAAACAACTCTGAAAAAGTGAAATTTCAATGGGCAAATCTCCAAATGAAATGGACAATTGTCCATTTGCCTCTCCCTTGGCTACGTCATTGCTGGTGAAGTTGAATATTGGTTAATGCGTGACTGACGCTTGCATTTGAAGAGTACATTAATATCTTAGGTTTTTCATTTTTGGGTTTATGACTTCAGTGCATGAGTATGAATTAACAAAAAAAAAAATAATAATGATGAAAAAATCAACCATGAAGCATATATTAATTTCTTTTCCGCTACAGCTTTTATCTGTCACACACCACGGTTATGTAATCCGTAGGAAGAAGTAAATTTTGTTGAAAGAATGTTTACGTATGTATGTGTTAGTGCCTTGCGGGAACGGGAACGATATTAAAAATGACCGTTCTCGAAAATCGTTTTGTTCTATTTTATGCATATATTCTTCAAACTTTGCTCTTTCAAAAAGAAAAATGTCGAATTCAACCAATACGATGTTATATTGTTGAGAAATAGACTTTGACATTCTGCTTAAGACTTTTGCATCTCTTATTAATGAAAACAGAAATAAAAACTTAGACAAGTTCATTCATTACTCATTAGAATGTAATTCAATCATAACATCTATTATTTTCTTTGTCATTATCATCTTCGAAAAGGCTCTTTTTTCAGAGTATCTCTTAATACAACAAATATTATCAACTCCTCTTCAATTTTTTCGTGTTTTCATCAATATTGTTGATATGCAAGCCTTTTTCTCCCTTGTCAATTGATGAAGAAAATAAGTCTCTTTACTAAGTGCATCTAAATTTTGATGTATAAATAATAATTGATTTATTCTATTCAATTGTACCTCCAATGATAATTTTATTTTTAATTAAAGGTTATCGCATGCTCGATAAAGTGCGGCATCGACAGAGGCTAGTATCTCGTAATGATAATTTTTCTCAAACACGAAAAATTANATTCAACTGGTAGGTACTCTTAATAAATTGGTATCATTATAGCCAAGAAAGACCCCTAAATTGTTACCATTATAATTGGCAACAGCAATATCTAGTCTACCGTCATTATTAAAGTCGCCAGTGACAACGGATCTTGGTGAAGAGTAGCTGCCAGTTGAGTATGTTATCTGACTGAAAAAAGTACCATCATTAAATCCGACAAAAATTCCGATGTTGTTAGAAAGAAAATTTCCGACAACTATATCCAGTAAACCGTCGTTGTTAAAATCGCCACTGGTAAGCGAACGTGGTTCAGAATCAGTGCCTGTTGCATACGTTTTTTGAGTTACAAAGCTACCGTTTCCATATCCTAGAAGAATACCAATATTGTTAGTTCCAAAGTTTGCAACAGCCAGGTCCAAATGATTATCGTTGTTGAAACCATTAGTGATGATGCAGTATGGCTGAGAGTGATACCCTGTCGAATAACTACTTGACTGTAAAAATGTGCCGTCACCATGCCCAATAAGAATAAGGATATTACCAGTAGCGTAATATGCGACAGCGATGTCCAATCGACTGTCGTTGTTGAAATCACCAACGGTAACCGACCAGGGTTGTGAATAACTGTCATTTGACAACATTTCTGGATTTGCAAAGGTGCCATTGCCACGGCCGAGGAGAATAATGATATTATTTGTCGTAAAGGAGACGGTGACAATGTCCAATTGGTGATCATTGTTTAGATCACCTATGGCGATCGACGATGGATTAGAGTCAGTACCAGTTGAATAGGTCATCTGCCTTGAAAAACTCCCATTGCCATGTCCAAGAAGGATACCAACATTGCTATTCCAATAGTTTGCGACGGCAATATCCAATCGATTATCGTTGTTGAAATCACCAGTGGCCACCGAAAATGGTCTAGAATCTGTGCCAGTTGAAAAAGTAGTTTGATTTGAAAATGTTGCATTGCCTTTACCAAGAAAAATGCCTATGTTGCCAGTGCCCTTATTGGCAGCTACGATATCCAATATACCATCATTGTTCAAATCAGCAACGGTGATTGCATCCGTATTAGAATTCTCGCCAGTAGAATACGGTACCATACTTCCAAAAGTACCTGCATCATATCTCAAAAGCACATCTACACTTCTAGTGCCGTAACTAGCAACTACAATATCTAGCCGACCATCACCATTCAAATCACCAATGGCGATCGACTGAGGTTTCGAACCAATATCAGTAGAATATACATCTATTGCATCAAATGAACCATTTCCCTGTCCAAAAAGTATACCTACATTATCATTACCAGAATTGGCGACGACGATGTCCGGTTGCTTATCACTGTTTAAATCTCCCACAACAACAGAGGTTGGAAAAGATAAAGAACCAGTTGAGAATGTCGCTTGCATAGGAAAAGTTCCGTTTGAATATCCAAACATAATAGCAATATTATGCATGCCATAATTTGCAACAACGACATCTGATCGATTATCGTTGTTCAAATCATCGATATCGATACCTTGGGAGTGTGCAGCTGATCCAGTGAACCATGTGGTGTCTTCCACGCCAATTATAGTGACAGTTCCCAGAAGAATACCAACGTTACCCTTCTTCCAATTAGCGACGGCCATATCCAACAGATGATCGCTATTAAAGTCACCAACGGCGATCGACTGTAGATTAGGACTATTGCCAACTGAATAGGTTATTATGTTGGCGAAAGTTCCATCGCCATATCCAAGAAGAACACCTATGACGTATGTACCATTACTGGCAACCACAATGTCTAATCGATTGTCATTATTGAAATCACCGGCGGTTACAAAGGCTGGTCTCGAGCTAGAACCACTAGAAATGATCTTCAGGTTGAGAAAGGAACCATCGCCATATCCCAGAAAAATACCTACACTGTCAGTAAAGCAAAGAGCAACGATGATGTCCAAATAACTGTCGTTGTTGAAATCATAAACAGCGACACAGGTTGGGCCAGCACCACTACCAACTGCGTAAATTATTTGTTTGGAAAAAGTTCCGTTGCTATATCCAAAAAGAACACCGATATTGCCAGCCCTTGAATTGGCGACGGTCAAATCCAATAGATTATCGCCATTAAAATCGCCACTGGCGATTGATAATGGCTTCGAGTTATCGCCAGTTGAATAGAACATTTGATTTGAAAACGTGCCGTTGCCACATCCAAGAAGAACAATGATATTATTAGTCTTCGAGTTGGCAACGGACAAATCTAATCGGTTATCACCGTTAAAATCACCAGTAGCAATTGACATTGGCCTAGAAAAACTACCAGTTGAATATATTGTTTGATTTGAAAAGGTACCGTTGCCATATCCAAGAAAAACACCAACATTGTCATCCAAATAGTTTGTAACAATTATGTCCATTAGTTTATCGTTATTGATATCGCCTACTGTAATTGATGACGGCTGAGAGCCAACGCCAGTGGAATATGCTGTTTTACTTGAAAAAGTACCATCACTATACCCAAGTAGAATATTAACAGTGGAATCTCCTTGGTTGGCAACGGCTATATCTAAAGTTTTGTCATTGTTGAAATCAGCAATGACTATCGACATTGGTTGAGAACCATTTTCAATTGAATATTTGGTTGCATTTGACAAGCTGTGATAGTCAGATGAAAGAATAGTGAATAGCATGCTGGTTTCATGATTGACCACGGCGATATCTGTTCTACTATCCTTGTTGAAGTCAGCACCGGCGACTGAATAAGGATAAAATGCATATTGTGTGAAAAAGATTGTTGGATTTCGAAAAGTCCCATCGCCATTAGCAAGTAACAGAACTAACTCAGAAGTTCCATAATTGGCTACGATGACATCTAGTTGGTTATCTTTGTTATAATCTCCAATAGCGACAGATTGTGGTGAAGCATTGTTGCCGATATAATAACTAGTTGGCACTGAGAAACTTCCATTTCCATGTCCTGAAAGTATACTGACACTATCACTACCTTTGTTGGCAACGATAATGTCGAGTCTGGAATCGTTATTAAAATCTGCTACAGCAATGAAGTATGGATGAGAATTTGCATTAGTTGTAAGTATTATTTGAATTCGAAACGATCCGTTACCATAACCAAGAAACAATCCAATGTTGTTAGTGGCATAATTAGCCACGACAATATCGACTGCATTATCATGGTTGAAATGACCTTTGGCAAGTGATATTGGGAATGAATCATAGCCAGTAGAAAAAGTGACCTGACTTGAGAAATTTCCATTTCTGTAACCAAGAAAAATACCAATACTGTTAGTTCCATAATTGACGGTGGCAATATCACATTGACCGTCATTATTAAAATCATCAGCAATGATATTAAGTGGGCGTGAAGATTCAGTAGAAATGATTGTTTGAAATATAAAAGTTCCAGTGCCCGTTCCGAAAAATATTACGATATTGTTAGTTCCGAAATTTGCCGCTGCCAAGTCTTGTCGAAGGTCACTATTGAAATCACAGGCAGCGACACTCTGCGGAATAGAGCCAGTACCCGTTGAATATTTCATTGGAGTTTCAAAAGTACCACTGTCATTTCCCAGAAAGACACCAATATTGTTAGCATCTGAATTAACAACAACAACATCTAACCAGCTATCATTATTGAAATCATCAATAGTGACAAAACGTGGATGAGAAGCGTCGCTTATTAAATGTTCAGCTATTGATGTCAGAGTGAATGCGCATGTTTGACCTAATGAGTAGTAGAACGATGAAATAAAGCACTAATGAATCGACAATTGAAATTGTATTGTCTGGGTCACCTAACATAGGTGTAACCATAAATAGGAGAGAGGTAATGAAAGACTAAACGAGTAGCTAGCCGCTACTCTCGGCAACGATGTTTATTAGCTACTTAACGTCTCCAGAATGCGTCTACTCCACATTCTGTACATGCTTATATAGGAGAGAGAAGAGATAGAAAGAAATGCACATATGAAAGAACAATGGAGAGAGCAGAGAAAAGGAAGATTTCATTTTGTAAATCACACCATGTACTTAGGTTCTGCAAATAAATTTATCTTCTATAGATTATGGTGAACTAAGAGTATGGCTTTAACTGATTATAGCATACTTAAAATCGATTTCAGCTTATAAACATGAAAATCAAGTTTTATGTTTCGAAGAAATTGATTGCGATATACGAAACTTCGTTACGTGTAAAATTACTACCTGCATTTATGTATTACTTAATGAAAGTTTATAACTCGATACGTATAAGTACATGTTTCTATCCTGCCAATTTGGAGCCAGAGGAATCGATTTCCGATGAGTGTTACTTATGATTATATTTTATAATAGCAATCTACGTTGAATTTCTAAATGTTAGACTTTGATCAACAATTCCAAAGTCTACCTAAAAAACTAAAATTAACTATAATCATATCGCTTTTATTTGGGTTTCTCAATGATTTTCATAGCAAAAAAGGATGATAAATGAAGAAAATACCTGTTTTTTGTGATGAAGTAAAGCCAACAGTTAAGATGCCAGTGATCATCGCTATGAATGTAAGAACGAAAAATATAAAGACTCGTCTTTTTCTAGAACTACATTTTGACTGGAGAACGTTGCCTCTAGCAAATGAAAATGTGAATAACATTAATAATTACAAGAAAATAAAATACATACCTATTGTTTTCGACTACATAAGATTCTGTTGAAGTAATTTTAATATTGATAAGACTTTCTGAATTGTGCAGATTTACAGCTAAGTTCGATGTGTTCTTCGAATCAACGGCAGGCGACCTCTTCAAAGTTGAGTGTTTAGAAAACGTGGTCGTATTCATCATGGATATAATTTAGTCTATAATCAAAATAGTAACTGACAAAGCAGAGCATAATCTTGGCTGAATCATCTATAGATACGATACTTTCATAATGATATTACAGCCTTATATAGTGATCCTTACTGAAATATTTACAAATACTGGACTCTGTGTTGCACCTTTTTTGTTAAATTTTCATGTAAAAAACTTGAAACTCTGTCGAACTATTACATGAGGAACCTCCTAAAACATCTTCTATTTATAATGGTTCGTTTGAAAAGATATTTACAGGAGTAACTGACTCAATTAAGAAACCCTTCTGGTAACATATTTCAGTCCGGTATGTCAAACTAAAGCAAACTTCGGATTTATCTTTATTCCATTTTAGGTTTCTTAAGAAAATCCCTATAATCTCGCAAGTGGGAAAGGTATACAGGATATGTGGGTGTGTCTGTTCGAGTGTGATTATCGATAGCTGAAGAGGAGATTAACTTTACACTCATACTCATATCATAGATAAAACTTCGAAGCGTCTTTACTAGCTTTGCTCTTGTTTATCTAACTGGAATAAGATATTTAAAAGTAATCGAATAACTTATTTTAATTTATACGTAATTTAACTTATGATTTGTTAAATTAGACATTTAGAGTTTTTTTTGTATTTGCAACGAAGGTGCCTGTATTGTAAATTAACATTCTTAAACATATAAGGGTCAAATTAAAGCTCTTGTTGCTAAATTGTTAAATTTAAAATATAGACAGCCCTTGCTTTCTCTAGACAAACATATTCGAATTGTATGATATTCACATTTATCTGTATAAATTGGAACATAAAGATTATTTATATTAATTTTTTACAGGATGAACTGAAAACTTCGAAAGTTAGCATAAAAAATGCTTTTCAAATTCATACATCGCATTAGCATCACATTGACTTTGATGTCTTCTGAAACTTAAATACACAAATTTACCTAAAGATGAGCTATCAATCTGTAGGCCGCATGACGAAGATAACTAGCAACAATGAGTAAATTAAATTTATATTTTTATTTGACGCAATAAACTGTCATAGACGATAGACACGGCAAATAATAGGAGAAAATACCTCTTGAATAGTAGATTTATATATGACATCTTAAGACCAATTATAAAGAACCGGTCCACAGGATCTATTCGAATATTGGAGTTTGTTTATTTCAGATTCTATTTTTCTTATATTACTATTGTCGCAATTACAGCTTCTAAGAAACCAGCGCTCATGATTCGTATTTAAATATTGTCTATCTCTCCCATTTGGTAATTAGATAATATCTCAGTGGTTTTTAAAATCACTAAGCAGCACATCAATTCATTTAAAGTTGAAATCTTATGCGTAAGAACCATTATTCACTCAAATTATGCATCTTTTTTTTCATTTTAATTCGATTAAGTCTCAACAAACATCAAAACTAATGTAACGTTAATGTTATATATTATTTCAAGTGTTAAGAATGAGGATTCATTATTATTTTTAAATAAAAATTATGAAATTACTAATAATTTATATTTCAAAAATAAATATAAATTACTAATAATTAATTTTTTTTTTGAGTTAACAGGCAAATGACATCCCTGACAACTACTCAATCAAGAAAATAATAAGCGAGAAATTATTAACATATTAATAATGAGGGTATCGTGCAATGCAAGTAAGGACTATTTATCATATTTGCATCGAATGAATAATGTGATTGCTCAACTAATTAATTTCAAGTACGACTTGCTTATGGTACACACAAACGAAAACATTCGAGGTTCAAGATATGTATAATATCTCCATTGTTCATACTAGAAAATTTAACTGCACCTATTTAATTTCTTCTCGCTATATTACGATGGAGAACAATACGTTACACCAAAAAAAGATAATATTAAACATATATTCAAAAGTAATTTTACAACAATTATATTTTCTTCTATTATTCATAGTTTACACGAACATAGAATCGGAGTCTTCGAATATTGATGTTTAATATGCGTGACATTTCACTTTCTAATTCAACTCGTCGTGCTCTGTTCAATTATGACGAATAAGAAGAAATGAATTTTATTGTAAGCTGGTAGTTTGGGGATATAAAAGGCTAAACTTGTCTGGAAATTTCAACATTTCGATATCACTATGTGATACACCGTACAATAGAGAATTCTTATATTGATTCACAAACGGTGTCTTAGGAATGTTCATAAGAATTCATCAATGAATTTTTACTTTCTTCAAAATAAATAATTGAAATTCAAGTTTCAATGTTTGGTTACTGGAAATAAAACTGAATTCCTACTGAAGAGAAAATCGAGCATTTTCTAAAAATTCAAAATTCCGGCTGCAAATAATAAAACTCAAAAGATTCTATAACCTTTCCTGGAGTTGATTTTCTACAAGGTGGAATTTATTTAAAAATTTATAATGTGGGCAGTTCTTATTTGAAATTAGTTAGTTTCGCAATGAGAGCATTCATTCTATCGAAATATAATCAATTTGCTTAGCTTATAAGATATCACTTTCTATTGTAAGATAGTGTATTATTCCGTGTCATCGGCTGTTAGATTGGTACAATAGTTACCGTAAAATGATATGTGACGACGATTGCAGTCTAATGAGAAAGAGCAAATGCAATAAATATGCACATAAACTAAAGAAAAATAATAAGCAATGTATGAAAGATACACGTTTTTATCTCTACTGCAGTGGAGCGATCACTGATTCATAAAACGTGTACTACACTAGAGCACACACTTTGAAGTTAGTATAAAATGAATATAGCACCTGTGCAGTTTATATCTATGATCAAATATACCTTAACTTTTGGCACCATTTATATTTGAAATAGGTATAATTTATTTTAATTTATATTTACTTTTTAAGAGAAATTATGAAAAAAATTCTTGTATAATTAAAAAAGAAACTTTAATTAATCATCTCATAATTGATACTTATGGTTACATATAAATTATATACTATTTTATTTTTTGTCAGTATATAAACCTGAAAACAAAGTTGTAGCCGGTATTTTAAATACATACGATTAGTACAAATACAAGTACTTGAACAAGCAATTATAGATTCTAAAAGTGCTTGGAGTCTCCGATGACTCTGTGTACTTACGTTTTCACTTGCACTCATTTGCTGAAAAATAAATCGGCTACAATAAAGACATCCTCATTTTCAAAATATTTCCAGCTGAATCTTGACTTCGTCTTCTCAATTAATATTTAAATTAGGGTGTAGGTATGGATGTGAATGTGGGAGTCGCAGTGTATGGGTAGCGGGTGGGTGTGGATGTCGATGTCGGTGTGGTTGCGGGGGAGGGGGGATGGATTGATGTGGATGTGGACATGTTTGTTTCTTCTTCTTACATCCGCACCCACATCCACCCGCATCCACTCACACGGACAACCACAACCGTAGCCCACACCAACCTCACAACCACATCCACACCGTTGATATAAAATTTTCTGAAGTTTTCAAAGAGATGAGTTAGCTGAATATAAGAATGTTAATGAAAATATATGAAGAAAGAACTTTTAAAAAAGCAGAAGAGGTATCAACACTGCTCAAATTTTATTCTAACCTAAATATGTGGATGAAAGAGAATACAGAATTCAAGCGATAGTTTTAGAACACTCAGACTGCGTGAGTGGACAGTCTGCAGAATGCAAGAGGAAACCGCTATCTTTCATCATCACCTCATCGCATGTTACAGCC